TCAGCTGTAGCCAAGAGAGTTGCTTTATAATGTGAATATTCTTAGCTTCAGTCTCACATTTTCTTCAGAATTAACTATCATAATCCTTTTCATTACTCTAACAGAGTCTGAGGACTCTTTTCCTAGAGTGAAGTCTCCCTCCCAACTCCTCTGTTAATAGTTTGGGACGTAATGTGACAGTAGTACTCTGATTTATGAGTCAGATCCTGGGTAGCCTAAGAAAAATAAAATAACTTAGGAAGACTTTTTATATACCTATTTATTTTTCCTCTTTATTCCCCTTAAAATGAAAATACTGAGCCTTTCTATTTTACATTTGTGAAAGAAGATAGCAGTGCAATTAATAGGAGGAGCATGATCCTTGGATTCAAATCTCAGCTTCAGGGCACCTAGGTGGCTCAGATGGTTAAGTGCCTGCCTTTGGCTCAGGTCATGATCTCCAGGTCCTGGGATAAAGCCCCACAATGGGCTCCCTGCTCAGCAGGGAGTCTGCTTCTCCCTCTTCCTCTGCCTCTCCCCACTGCTCCTACTCTCTCGCTCTCTGTATCTCTCTGTCTTAAATGAATAAATAAAAAATTCTTAAAAAAAAAAAAAAAACCACAACCAAAAAAAAAAAACAAATCTCAGCTTCAACACCCAGTAGTTGTGTATATGTATTTTTCTGCATATCAGTATCCTCCTAATAACTACTTTGCAATTTCTCTGGCCATTGGTATAAACAATAGATATTCAAATATAGCTATTATTGCTATTATCATCAATTATCCTGACTTACAGAAATATACAAGTTCCTTGGAAAGTATACATTTTTGGAGAGTGATCAGGGATGGGGTATTATTATACTTTAATTTTTTCTTTTTTGGTTTCCTTTCCTTCATTCCGTATATGCATATGTACATGTATTTGTGATTATGAATGTGATTATGAATGTGTGTGTGTGTGAATTTCACATACTGTGTGTCAGGCACCATTTCGAGCACTTTGGTAACTTTTTATTAACGAATAAAACAGATAAAAAATTCTACCTGCTCATGGAGCTTACATGATTGTAGTAGGTATAGCTGGAAGCTGATAAATTCTATGGAAAAATGAAGCAAGGTAAGAGGAGAGGGATTTGGGAGTGGGTTGCACTTATAAATAGGGAGGTCAGGGTAGGCCTTAGTGTGAATATGACACTGGATTTGTGTTCTTAGGGGTTTTCATGTACTCTCCTCGAGAATGGAGAATGGGGAGAAGGGAGATGAGAACACAGAAAAGAATAGGAGCCTGCTGATTTGTAGGAGAATATGAGTATTTCCTTTGTGTAACATGTGTCCAGAAAAAAATAATACAGATGAGCGAAGTCTTCCAGGTGGCCTCATTTTATTTTATTCAGTTTGAGCAAAAATCTTCCTTAAATGCTTTTTCTGCATACCCTGCCATCCCAAAAGATGGATACTGAGTACAGTCCACTTGGTCTGTGACGGCTGCCGGAGGTCATCACCATGACTCTCGCATCCGTTACTGAACTGTCATGAAGCAGGGTCCTCAGGACCAACAGAGATGCTTTAGGCTATTTGCCTACATAAAGGCTGAGTCCGCAGTGGTTGTGAGTTCTACATCATAGCTACTACACACATACGGCTATTCAAATTAAAATAAGTGACATTAAAAATTCAGTTTCTTAGGGCACCTGGATGGCTCAGATGGTTAAGCGTCTGCCTTCGGCTCAGGTCATGATCCCGGGGTCCTGGGATCGAGTCCCGCATCGGGCTCCCTGCTCCTTAGGAGCCTGCTTCTCCCTCTGCTTCTCTCTCTCTCTCTGTCTCTGTCTGTCATGGATAAATAAATAAAATCTTTAAAAAAAAAATTCAGTTTCTTAGTCACATTAGTCACATTTTAAGTGCCATACGTGTCTAATGGCTACTGCGTTAGCACAGATAGAGAACATTTCTAACACTGCAGAAAATTCTGTCAGTATTTGTTATTTTATGTGTTCCTATCTCTGACATTGTTTTTTCTGGTACTATCAGCTTCCAACTGTATCTCTTCCTTTTGATTTGTTGTTTCTCATGGTTTATAGGTTTAAATACTAGATTTAGAATTTTGTGTGAAGTAAGGGTAGAGAGGCTCTAACAGAGAGCAGAGGAGCTTTCTTATGTTCAAGTCCTTGAGTTGTCATACTTAGAATTTATATTCCTATTCTGACTGCCCCAAGGCCTTTTTTGCTTGGTTATTGTTATGCAGCTGTGCTCTGGGTGGTAAGAGAATCAGACTGCTGAGTTATTATGGGAGAAGTGTTATCAAACTTTAAAGGTAAAATTGCACTTTTATGGAAATACTTTAGATCCAGTCAGTGGTACCCTACTTGGAGCAATGCTATTCAAGGAGTGTTTATTGACTGACTGCCTACACATGTACACCAAGCACTGTGTTAGGCCCAGGAGATGCAAGCAAAAATGAACATAGCCTCAATCCTTGATATCACAGTTTATGTGGCGGAGAGAATCATAAATAGGCAGAATTTCAGTTATCCAGTGCCCAGGTAGGCCCAGGATACTCTGAAAGCACAGAGGAGGATGGTTCGTAAGCCAGCCTTCCCTGGGGGTGGCGGGGAGGGAAATGAGACGGGATCAAAGGCCAGAGAATGCTTCCTAAAGAAGAGATTCTTAAATGGCATCCTGGAGGATAAATAGGTGTTAGTCACATGATGGAGTTGGGAGAATGAGATGAACAAAACATGATGTACCATAGTGTGAACAAAGATGCTGAGGAGTGAACTGGCATGGTGAGAGTGGGAACTTTTAAGTGTATTTTTGATGGAATTCAGAAGAAAAGAGAGACTGTGTTTGTAGAGAGGGACAGGCTTCGAATGGTATGTTGAAGTGATGGTTTTCAGCAGAGCTGGAGAGGGGCAGGGCAGGGGTGGTAACGTAGGCTGATTACTCAGTAGTTCAGGTAGTTCAGGCAGCTCTGTGGAGGTGGAGTTTGGGGGAGCTAGGCTGGAGGCTGGGACACCAGTGGTGGTAGGTGCGTGGAAGAGGAGGGAGCCATAGCAGGCCCTCAGTCCAGAGGTAATGAGAGCCTGATGTAAGAGTGTGGAACAGAGCACCTGGGTTCAATCAACGTTTAAGGCATAAAATTATCAGTATTTGAGGTTTAATTTGATGTGGTGGCTGAAGGAGAGAAGAGGAGTCAGAGATGACTCTAAGCTTTCAGGAAAGCAGTTAATTTGAACTGTTCTTCCATGTTTACAGTCATAGGTTTTGACCTGTTGCTTCTACTAGTGATTTGCTTTGGCAACTGTGGTGTCCAGGATGGGTTTTGGCTGTTCAAGGCTCCATCACATTCGCATTGGTTAAAAGAACTTGAAGCACAGACCATCGTGAAGTTCCACCCTCCTATGACTTTAATTCTGCGGCGGCCTATGACAATTTATAGAAATTTGGCTTCATTTCTAGTGGCTCCAGTGCAGATGCCAGAATTACCCCATTGCTAGGACGGCCTTCGGGTGGACCACTGAACCTGTTATTCATTATGAACAACTGAAAGCCATCAATAAAATTCTTGTATTATGCCAACAGTAACACCAGTCAAGTATTAAGGTAGGTTTCGGAAAGTTACGAATCTCAAAATCTGTCTAGCTGAACTCTTATTTGTATGTTTATACATATTTATTTATCATGTGGAAAAGCTAGTGCCTTCCTTTTTATAATTGTACATTGCCTTTTTTTAGATTATAAATTAAATTCTGAGTTCTGAATGTTGGTGGAGACATGCTTATAGATCTGTAGTCAGTTACTTTAAAGTAAAAGTACAAATCGAGTCCAGATAGGGGAACCAGAAGTAGGAGTGAAGCCAGCCCAAAGGGTCCATTACAATGGGGCCTATATTGAAAGCAAGAATTCTCTCATACCTGTAGTGTGTTTTAAAAGGATTTTCCAAGTAACAGTTAATATTTTAATGACATCTGTTAACCTTCCAAAAAACCTAGTTCTCTATTTTGCAAGATTAAGGAAACATGCCAAATACATGTTGATACTTCTGCTTTTATTGACATATTTCATGACTGCATGGCTAAAGCCACAAACGAGTAGGCACCGGCCACTTTCTTTTCATAGTTTTATTTAGTCACTGCACCTGGCTTTTGATGCTGAATATCTTCTCCTTGTCACTCAAACTGCTCCATCAAATTGGATCTTCAGTGGTCTGGCAGTTTTGAATGACTTCTTGGAGGCTGTGAAACCCTGTTCCCTAATCAGGAAGATCTGGGTGAGTCTTGTAGGAGGAAAGATGGTACATCTCTTCTAAGTAAGACAACAGGATTATGGGACAATTACAACATCTTCAGAAGTTTTATCTGGAGAATAGTGATGTGTTTTGGTGATGAACAAATACTGTAAGTTGAGAAGCTTGGGAAGTTTTCATATTCTTTAAGAGTGTTTTGTATAAAGGAGGAATGAAAACAAGCTGACTTTTTGTAGTTCTTGGTAGAGGTTACATTAACTATTTGTCAAAAGTTGGATTCTTGAAGATTCTTGGCTTCTAAGAACATTCATCATGAACTGCCATTCTTTGTATGCTGTCCATGAAGGTTGTTTAACAACATGTCAATAACTTTATAAAAAGATAAAGGTTTCATTAATCCCAATGGGAGCTTTCTGAAGTGCATTTTCTTTATGAATAATTAGTGTCATTCTGTGAAACTCATGATTTCTTAGGGTGGGAAAGAAGGGGTAAAAAGCTATCTTTTCAAGCCATTTGTGATTTAGTACCAGCTGGTCAAGTGAGTTGAAAAACCTTCTGAGTCATATGTCATATTATTTTGAATGCCTTTTCTCTCTCTTGGGAAACTGGCTAACCTCTGCAGTCTCTCTCCCATGGCAAATCACTCTAAAACTTTGATCTTCTCAAACCAGTTTGTCAGATGTAGCAGATAAAGCATGTATGACCTTTTGTGTGCCAATTCAACCTGGCTGGTCGGAAACCATAAGTTAATCCTGTATGACTTTTATTTCCAGGCATTACGGCAGAAGTTCTGGTGGTGACCTCTTTCGAGGAACTGCAGAGAAGGGCCCCAGAAGCAAGAGGGAAGATTGTTGTTTATAATCAACCTTATGTCAGCTACTCGAAGACAGTGCAGTACCGGGTCCAGGGGGCAGTGGAAGCTGCCAAAGTGGGGGCTTTGGCATCCCTGATTCGATCAGTGGCTTCCTTCTCCATCTATAGGTAGGTCATGGTGTTCATTTGAAATTCTTTAAAAAACCAGGATTGTCCATGAAAGAGGAGCCCTTATGAAATAAAAACAAAGCATTCAAATGAAAATACTGATTGTTTACGGAATTTTCCCCCCATTCCATATTTGGTCATTTGTTTGTAACATCTTCTTTGGCCTTTTTAGGATTCCTAGCATTATTTGTACATTCTTCTAAAAAGCTTTCCACATCCATGATGACCCCATAACATTCCTTATGTAACCAATATGTTATGTATTTTCATTGGAGGGAGAACTGAATTTACGTCTGTGTTTCATCAAAGATCCTTATGACTTCAGAGGAAGCCAGGCCTTTTCCCATTGTTGCTAGAGAAGTGGAATAAAAATAAAGTGGGTAACATGATGGGAGTTGTCTGTGGTGTAGTGGAAAGAGAGGAGGAAGCAGAGGATCTTGGATATAGACCTGGTTCAGCCCCCAAACAAGTATGTGGCCTTGGGAATGCTCTTAAACTCCTTGGGTCTCATCATTCTTCACTGTGAATCAGTGATGATGAAGAATTATATATTTACAATGTTACTTTGAGAATAAATGAGATGAACTTATGAAAGATACTTGATTTTCTGCAAAGGTCTAGTAAGTGTTTTGTGGTATTTAAGGGCAACATAAGTTTTGTCTTTTTCTTTGTAGTTCTGATTGAGGTAATTGTGAATTGCTTTATTGACCCTCAGTCTTAGGATAAAATTTAGCATTGCAGTGGATAAGAGTTCTAAGACTTTACCTGTAGACATTTGGCCTAATTTAATAGCTACATATGGTAGTGTCACACATTAAGGGTGAAGTATTTGATGGACATAAAACATGGATAAAAGAAGCACCATTCTAGTCATAGTCTGATCTCCCAAAGATAAAAAAAAAAAAAGAAAACAAGGCAAGCAGAAACAATTGCAAATAGGGTTTATTTGGGTTTCAAGATTAGATTAGTATCTACTATAAAGGAAGATTTATTTATTCTATACAATTTTTGTTTGGAGCTGGAGACACAGCTGTTTGATCTTAATTAGTACCCTGCGCCCTTGAAAATAATATAATTGAGGAGACATCAGCCAATAAGAAACCAACTCAGAAGGGAGTTGTCCAAAATCACAGAGAAAAAAGGAAAGGGACATTTTTCTTTTATGGGGATAAGATATCTTCCCAGGGAGGAAGATGGGACATGTTAAAATCACTTTTAAAAGTTTTATAAGAGAGAAACTAGTTCTACTGATGTCATAGTGCTAAAATAATGTTCTTTGTAGAGTCTAAAGGTTTGGGGACTCGTGAAATAATCATTGGCCCATAGTCTTTTGGATGGTTAATCTTCCCAGGAGGGAAGTCCTAAAATGGTTAGCTTACTTCCCAGAATACCTCACTCGCCCCTTAGAATAACATACTCCTCAGCAAGCTGTGGCCATTCACTATGATTTCACTGGTCATGAGATCTAAATTATGTAGTTAGTCTGTTGCTTTGTGAAATGGGGTGATTGCCAAAAATATTTATTTAAAAACTACTACTCATAAGACTAATAAACTCCCAAATGACTTAGTATACTGCAATCTGCCAGGGTTAACTGACATTTTTTTTTCTGGTATAATGAAGACGTCTGGAAACCAAGTCTATAACCTGGGAGCCCTAGAAAAATTATGCCCAGCATAGAATGTAGACATCTATTGTTAACCTCTAATATTTGGGATCAACAAATTCTAGTGTATACTAAAAAGACATTTTTCTTTTTCTTCATATTTCTAGATCTAGACTGATTATAATTTTTCATTGATTTTATAGCTAACCATATTTCACTGGACTCTTGACTTTTATAACTTCGTATTTTTGACATTTATAAATACATAATAACATTGCCCTTTACACAGTACTTTAGAATCTTTGACATATGGCATCTTACTTGTTCTGACAACTTAGTAGACCTAGCAGAAGGGGCATTATTATCCCCATTTTACAGATAGAGAAATGAAAGTTCAGAGAATTCAACATGTTACCGTGTTTAAGTCTCACGTCTTGAAAAATAAAACTAAAATGAAACAAACTCTGCCTCTTTGTCCACTTCTAGCTAATTGTTCCTTAGAGCTAATTTTCCTTAAAAGAGTATTTTATGTTCCTGTCTCTAATTCTTCATCCGTCATTCCCTCTGCACACCATTTTAATCTGGCTTTGCCAGTATTGAAATGGGACCTGTTAAGGTCACAAATAGCAACTGTAGTTGTCAAATATAATGGACATTTTTCAGGCCATCATTTTACTTCCCCTCTCTGAAACATTGTCACTGTTGACTGCTCCCTAAATATCTCTTTTCTTTGGCTTCTATGGCTTCTCATATTCTCTTTCTCTTTCTTGCTCTCACCCCTTCCCTCTTTCCTACTTTCCCTCTTCCTCTCCTGTTTCCCTGGCTTCTCACTCTGAACATTCTACCTGAGCAGCCCTGTCATGCTTGTGACTTCCGCCACCATCTCTACTGTGACAGTTTCCAAACCCACCTCTCCTTCCCATACCACTGCCTGAGCCCTAGGCCCTTATATCCCAACACCTCCCGATACGTCTTTCAGATGTTCCATAGCTATCTACACTTCAGTTTTCTTCAAAACTGAACTCATCTTCTTACCTCTTTAGCCTGCATTTCCTACTTCAGGGAAGAGAGTGTCATCTATTCTGCCTACGAAGCTAGATGGTTCTTGAGTACTTTTTGTTCTCTTCCCTTATCCATCATTTCTGGTAATTACTATGTCTCCTAGGTCCTGCTCTTTCCTAGTCATTTCAACAAACACATATTGGGTAGCTCTATTTCCCAACATCACTCCACATTCTAATAGTCAGGAGTCACTAACACTTTCCCGATGTACAACGTTTCCTCAAGGTTTCATGACTTTCCATATGATTTCTCCCTTGTAGCCTTCTATCCTCTTCCTCACTGTCTCATACTGTCCTTTAAGATTCATCTTAAGTGTTTCTTTTTCTAGGGAGCACTCCCTGATATCTAGATCCAATGCAGGCGAGCCACCTCTTTCTGGTATTCCCACATCATTCTGTGCATACTCTATATCATAATGTCTTGGAGGTAGTTGTGGTTCATGGTATGGTAGGGTACACTAACTATTGTAACAGTTTCAAATCTTAGTCACCTAACACAATAGGAATTGATTGACTGCTCACATAATGGTTCCCAGAGGGTGTTCAGCAGGTGGCCTTCTGCTCCTTCCCATCTTGTGACACCATCGCCTCTAAGATCTCGGAGTCCTCTTTTGAATCCAGCTGGCAAGTAAGAAGATAGAGAAAGTTGATAATCAAATGGGAGGTTTTCCATGGCCAGGTCTGGACATGGCATACCTCACTTCTACTCACATTCCACTGGCCAGAATGAAGTTATGTAGAGGTGGGGAAATTTGGTCTATCTTTATGCCATCAGTGAAAGGTAAACTGTCCAGTCCATCTGAACCACCTGACTCCACTCTAAGTTCCAGAAAGACATTAAAAAATATATATGTGTATTTAATATTATATTTAATATATGTAAATATATACAAACATATTTATATATATTTAAAACCTCTATATCTCCATCATCTAGTATGTTTGTTACATAATAGTCACTCAGGAACAGTTCTGTTGAAGGAATGAACTTGTCTGAAATTGTATAGTCAGTCATGGCAGGGCTGTTATGATAAACGTGGTGACCAGATTCTAAGTACTCTGACCAAACTGTGTAGCCTCTGTATAATAAGTTCAAAACAACCTGAATTTTTAGAGCACTTTGCTCTGTATTTAAGGAAAATATCCAGGTGCCCTATATTGCCAGATTATGTCTTTTTTCTGCCACAACATTCATGAACAACGATGTTTTGAATTGGTAATTGAATAAAACCGCTCCCTTCTCTCTGACAGACATTTCACCTGTAGTTCTATGGGAGTGGGTGATACAGGATTCCGGTTAGGAGTAGTGTAGAGATCAGCAACCCTAGAGAACAGAATATAAATTTTAATTAGTTTCTGCTCGGCTTCAAAATCAGAGAAAACCCCTAAGGGGCAGATAATGTATTTGACCAGTTTAACTTGACACTTGTCAGTGCCGTTAACGATATTTGTCAGCCATTTTGGAAGTACAACAGACACATGGTTACATGACAGATATCCTTAAGAAACATCTGTAAAACATCCATTACTTGTTGCCTTCAATATTTCCAGGCTCATTGTTGTCATTTCTCTGTATTGCCATTATTAGTATTCTTGTGCTCAAATTTTCTTCAAAGAGATTTTTTTCTTTATTGAAGCTTTTATAGTGACTTTTGTTCACCATTAAGTATCAACTGGGACTCTCATTAGATCTTTTTTAGTTTTTCTGTATGTAAAATACCTTTTGCCTTGGTCATTGGAGAATATTTTAAGGATAAATGTAATTATTAATTTAAGTTCTGCAGAGGAACCATTTGTCTTACATTACTTCTCAAATTAATTAGTTTTTTAGTAAATATTTATTGAGAGCTTACCAGTGCTCAGAAGTTGCCAAGCTGTAGGGTTATTAAAATGAATTAGACATGTTTTTTGTCCCTCAGAAATATTCTATCTGGCTAAAAGAGAGGAGGGTAAGCTTAAAATATAAAACTAATGTAATCTTTTTTTACATTTAGTGCTAAATGAGTAATGGGGGAAAGGAATGAAGGAAAGAAATGAACATTTATTTAGCAACTACTTTGTACTGTGCATCTCTGAAGGCTTAAATAGTTTGTTTCAGTTAATTCTTTATGCAATCCAATGGAGGCAGATAACTGGTCTCTCTCTTTTACTGAAAGAGAAACAGGTTCAGAATGCTTAGATAATCAAATTACACAGCTAGTGAAAGAACTAGGATTCATAATTAGAGTCTCTGGTTCTAAATTCTATGCACTTTGGATTGCACCAAGCAACCCGAAGAGCCAGTGCTTTGGAGTCTAAAAGGGATAGCAGAAATCTGATTAGAGCTGGCTACATAGAGGATGTAGATTTTGGGTATATTCAACAACGAAATTGAACTCGAATAAGAGAAGGGGGGTGGTGTAAAGACATTCTATACATGATCAAGGTGGGAATGCATGATGCACTTGGGTACTACACAAGTAGACCAGTATGGCTGGAGCCAGAAGGTTTCATAGAAGATCAGGGAAATGTAATTTTGGGGTGAGTGGAAGAAACCAGGTTATGAAGACTCAAGAGTACCAGTTTGGGGAGTTTTGAGTTTTATGTGGAGGAAATGGGGAATCATTGAATGTGGTAGAGCTGGGGGGGTGATGTTTTAGAGCAATGTTTCTCTAAAGATGGTCTCTGGATGGGGCGCCTGGTCTGGATGGGGCGCCTGGGTGGCTCAGTCATTAAGTGTCTGCCTTCGGCTCAGGTCATGATCCCGGGGTCCTGGGATAGAGCCCTGCGTAGGGCTCCCTGCTCTGCGGGCAGCCTGCTTCTCTCTCTCCACTACTTGTTCTCTCTCTCACTCTCTCTCTCTCTCTCTCTCTCTCCCCCTCTCCTCTCGTGCTCATGCAGGTGCACGCACTCTGGAGGAAAAAAAAAAGATGGTCTCTGTAACACCGTCGTCAACCTCACCTACCTCACCTGGGAGCTTGTTGATATGCAAATTATCAGGCCACCTGAGACCCATTAAATTAAAAAAGCCTGAGGGTGGGGCTTGTGGTTTAACTGGCCCTCCAGGTGATTCTAACGTATGTTAAAATTTGGGGGGGCGCCTGGGTGGCTCAGTCGTTAAGCATCTGCCTTCGGCTCAGGTCATGATCCCAGGGTCCTGGGATCGAGTCCCACATCGGGCTCCCTGCTCGGCGGGAAGCCTGCTTCTCCCTCTCCCACTCCCCCTGCTTGTGTTCCTGCTCTCGCTCTCTCTCTCTGTCAAATAAATAAATAAAATCTTAAAAAAAAAAAATTGGGGAACTACTGTTTCAGAAAGATCAATCGGGTGACTACATAGCCTGCTATGAGAAGGAAAGACAGGAGAGTGCTCTAATAATGCAGATGTGAAATAATGGGGGCATTGATGATGGCAGTGGGAATGGAAAACAAGAGACAGCAAAGAGAGATAGGTGATCAGAACTTGGTTGTATTTGAAGGGGGACTGGAGGAAGGGTCAAAGTTTACTGTGAGGCAAGGATCAAACCGTGGGATGAATCTGTGTTCAGTTCAGCCCAATATTTAAGAATCATGAGAGTTACATAGAAATAGGAGTCTGGTTTTGGCAACATCTAGTGTGTTCCATGAGGCAGACCAGCGGATTAGATAAGTCTCCAAGTCCGTTTAGTTGATGGGTTGTACTCTTCCCAGTCTGTGGAAGTTTCTTGGTTTCCCTCCACCCAGGTTGGTGACCGGAGAATGTGGAGAAGTGTTGGGGTTCAGGAGAGGGAGCTGATTGCAGGCAACATGAGCAGCTTGGTTTTTAGACATTTTGAGTTTGAGGTGACTGTGAGAAGTTCCATTAACCTGGTTTTTATATTTTGTAAGAAGAAAACAGGTAACAGGTAAGCATTTCCATTTCTCTGTTATCTACTTTTTGGATCACCCAAGGCAATTTAAAATTCTAGGCTGGCTTCCTTGCAATGCGGCACACCTTGGGACTCCTGCCTCCTGCCTTCTCAACGTGCGAGCTCAAGAATGTAAAGTGATTTTTATGTTAGTCCAAGTAAAATACAATTCAGAAGGTAACTCTACTGAGGCCAAATTGTCTGTTGTACTCCCACTGCCAAATACACATTTTCTTTCCTAGTTATTTTCTCCATTGCCCCAGATAATCGAACACAGACTGTAAGTTTTAATCAGCTAAGGAAGCAAATCTCCCTCCACTTCACTGTGAAAACTGCATCACCACGCTGGGTAAGAATGCATGGAGGTGGCGATGAGTTGTTGATAGAACTTGCTTTGTAAATTCTCCTGGTTTATGTTTTATATCACTTGGCCTTCATGTAACGTGTTATTAATAGAGGATAGTGAAGAGGAAGAGGAAGAGGAGCAATCCAGTTTGAGGATGACTAAGACCTGATTAAACATTCAGCTGGAGAGAGCGAGACGAGTGAATCCAGGTGATGTTTATGGAGTGTCAGAGAGGGAGAATGTTATACCATCTGGTGAGAGAGCTGGGAAAAAGTCTATAAATCAATCCCTATAATGATACTTAATTAATACTGAGTCGATAAATGACATAATTGAAGCGCTGGTTGGGCTACATTGTGGAGTTAAATAGCTTCAAAGAGGGCTCTGATTAAAGCCATTACAATTTATAAAACATTCTTCATCTTAAGAAAGCATCTTGATGAGATTTAACATGAACATTTTTGTAATCAGAGGGCCAACTTAAAACATTCAGAGCAGAGGTGAAATGTCTTAAGAGGTCTGTTTTGGGGGAGTTTGAAAACCAGTTATTCCCAGAGAGTAAAAAAAGCTTGTCCCCCCACCTCCTGTGGCTTTTTTAATGGGAGAAAATTAATGCTGCTACTTCACACTTAAACCGTCTTGGATTTTTGATGTCCTGGTGGTTTGGTTCTTTGGCGTGACCTTAGCATAATTAGCTATCAAGCTTGATTTAAATTGTTTTGAAATATCGTTGCAATTTGGGGGGCATATGTGCCTGCTGGGGATTACAAAATAAGGAAGATACCACCGTGACTCAAAACCGAAAACTGGGCCAGCCTCCATTAGTAGGTTCTTTTCCTGCCTTACATTGTTTTTGCTTAATTCACTCTGAAGCTCATAACAGATGCACAGTAATCAAGCAGAAGGCCAATTCTCATCATTTATGCAGGTGGAGGGCCACTGTACTCCCGCGGGGGGAAACCAGAGAAGACCCACACCGAACCCAGCATTTTTTTTTTTCTTCTCATCATCCTTTTCTTTCTCCCCTCTCTGATTTTGAAAGACAGATTCTTTTTAGAAGGCCTTTGTTAGAAATTCCAAAATGTTCTTTAATCACCGAAATCTTATTATTGCTTCAGGTAGTGTGATAGGCATACTTCCTCATAATGGACAGAACTGGGCAATGACTCCCGAGCCCCCGCCCCCCTGGAGTTTTTGTTAGCCATTTGCCAGATGTGTGACCTTGGCAAGCTGTGCAAACTCTGTGCCTCAGTTTCATCTGTAAAGTGGGGGAAATAACTGTACCTTCTTCCTGGTGTTTGGTGAGGTTTTAAATGAGATGTTGGTATTGCCTGACATGTAGTTTTACATACGTGTAAAGTGCTGTTGATACATAGTCTTGTTAAGTAATGACTGGATATACTTACTGACAAAAAGAGGAAGGAGGGGAGGGAATTGTGGAGTGTCAGAGGGAGGGAAGGAGAAAGAAAAAAAGGAAGAAAGGAGGGAGGAGAAAAAACATAATTTATTTGGTATCACTGTTGTCACTGCGGCCCTCTGCAACCCTAGCCCCATTTTGTCATTTCGATCTCCCCCTATTTAGTTTGTCCAAACTCTGGATGACGTGTTTGCTAGTCTTTTTCTCTGTCTGGACTGGAAGTTCTCCTGGGGACATGCTTTGTGTCTTCTTCATCTCAGTGTCCTCAGGGCCATGCTTAAGGCCTGGCACACGGTAGTGCTGGAACGAATGAATAAGGAGTTAGGGGCAGCCTATCCGGTTTGCTAACATGTGAATTCAAGGTGTCACCGTTTCACATTCATAGAAGTTGAATAATACTATAGATGAGGTAACTAACCTTTTGAATTGCTACTTATCAAAAATAGAATCTCCGGAATCTGAGAGCAGACTATATAGTTATGTAAATTTTGGTAAAGTATTGCAAACTGCATATTACTATGGTGCTTTGTGAGGCTGCTATAATTAATGGTCTGTTTGCATTCCTAGTACTGACTGTCATTTTTCATCTGCTTATAACCTTGATACAAAAATTTGTTCTTGGCTGCTATTTTGCATTCATAATTTTAAAATGTATATAAATGTTCACCTTCTATTTTCCAGCTTTCTGATTATTGAAA